ACAACGGCTCTCTGGTGAAGACGCTAGAAGTCTGTCATGATGGCAGAGCCATCAACGGGTAAATCCGAGAGACACGAGACGACAGCTTCCTTTTGTAGAGTTCTAATAGACGGCCGAACGCTGCGGCAGGGTTCAGGAGCGTAGCAACGGTGGTGATTTGGATGGCTTGATTGCGAACAGGTCCACCAAAACTGCTGGCCTTAGACTGTTGTGAGGGGCGACCGGCGGAACAGGCCTCCGCGTGAAGATGACCGATTGGCGACATTTTATAGCAACCCGTGATTGAGTGGAGGGCGGCGTTCTGTGCTGGCTGAAGGCGGCGGAGGAGGTCATAGGAGACCAAATTTGTGTCGTGTTAGTGAGGTGCGGCTTGGCCAGTGCTTTGAATGTGGTCGCCAAAGTCTCCTTCGCGCAGCCCCAAGATGTGCCCGCTAGAGCCTCTAAGACCTTGTTGGAGAGGCTGTGGCAGACCGCGATCAACGCCACTGCCGCTGACTCATGCTACCGGGGTCTCTCCCTCCCGGTGAGAGATGAGCGAAATCCAACTACACCGGCAAAGCGAACAATCAGCGATTGCTTGGATGTCGTCATATATGACGACATCCAAGCACAAGCTGCAGTATGAGTATTTGGTCGGTGCATCCACGTCTAGTGCCACGTATACATCAAAGCACAACAATTACAAAGATCTTTGAAACAGAGTCCGTATGACTAAGGCACTGAGTCTTTATCTTATGTACGTCTTAAAGATGGACATAGTTTCAGTCATCAGGAACGTGCTTATCTCTTCACACTTGTTTATGGACCAGAGAGTCGACACAATACTTGAGGGTTTGCGAAGAAATCTGACACCATACGCTGAGTTACTAGACAGGAGGCAATTGTAAAGCATCTGCCAGCAAGACCACTTTACCGCTGTATGATGTTCATCTTCATAAACGCCAGTTAATGAGTTTTTCTGCGCTGCATATCTTTTTGCTTCTGCCAGAGTATATTTGCTTTTTCCCCTTTCAGTCAAGCTGCGTGACCTAATCACCTTCGTCAAGGTTGATCAGGGAAGCCTGTCCCTTCTGGAGTCACTGGTGGCAGACTTCATTAGGTATTTCTCTCTCTTTCTCCCTATTAACCATTTGATTAAAACAACTACATGCTTGCATTTTTGATGTTCCGCAATTTTATAATTAAAATTACGTCTACTAGCACATTTCAGTAGTTTATTTATTAGACCTTGTAGTTGTCAAGCCACTTTCCACTCATTCTCTTTTTTTCTTCCAGTTTCCTCGAACGCAACCAAGACGAATATTTCCGCCTGGAAGATTACACAATGGCCACCGCAGATTATCTTCGGTTGGCCATGTGTTAAATGTGCAACAGACATATCATTTTTACAGAATGTATTTGTGCAAAATTTCCATGTTTTTAAAAATTTTACAGGGGGGCGTATATGCCCCCCTACTATCTGACTGCCGATAACAGTAAACTTTCCATGCAATCTTTCCTCTTGACTCTATCTTTTCTCGTTCGAGTTTAAAAGACGCACATTATTGATTACCACCAATCAATCAATCGTAGTTAACTCCGGAACGTGCACTGCCCAGACTTTGGTGTACCTGCTTTTCATCTAAACTCGAGCGAATAGAATGAACTTACCAGCAAAGACAAAGGAGACTAGAATTGCCTTTAATGACTTAGTAGTTATAATCAGCCAACGCTACTCAACCGCAGTTATTGTAACACTCGAGGCTCAAAGGCGCTACCTGCAGTTTAGAAATCTACCGCTCTAGCCAGTGAGAAGCGAGCCCCTTTTCCTGTCGGT